TGGTAGTAGTAGCAATTATAATAATACTGAATAAAATAACTGGTTAAAATATATCACTTTTTTACCTTAAATAATCAATGTACTATCTGCATGTGAGCACATACATGCTTAAACAAAGAGAGAGAAAGCTTTTTGAGAATGTTGCTTAGGAAGCAGGTGGGCTATTTCCTAAGAGGGATCAAAACAACACATTTATCACATTCCAGGGCAGGTTACAATTTCTTTATAAAAACTGTATAAAAATTTTATATCCTTCTCAATATCATTTGAAATTAAGAACAAAGTATCCTGGTAGAAAGAAATTAGAACAGTGGGACAAAGGGACACCTATATAGTTTCCTAATTCCTCCTCCCCAATGCCCCAACCCCTTTCATTGGGTCATCAGAAAAGTTATGATCCATTTTTGTATAGAAAAACATGAAAAAATAAGTCATGTCCTTTCTGACAACCCAATACTTCCTTGGAGACTGATTATCCACCAAGGTATTATCTCTACCTCGCTGGTTTAGGAACCTGATTTTATCAGCACTTTGAAGTAGAGTCATCTATGCGGTAGACACACATTACCTAAGTTCATAAGACCAGTATAACTATAATACCAGAGGCCAATTCATTAATTTATATCCAGCAATGTACAAGTCACATAGGCCAGAGGACTTAGGCTAATATGTGGTCTCCTACCAGCAGACCTTCATGAGAAGCTTGACAAAAATGAGAAAGTTACTGGCGAACATGGGATCGGGACAAAGAGCATGAGATGAATCAAATATCTAATGGCAACAAGTTGGGCTAGCCTGATGTGTCCATTTCCCGAGTCAAGATGATCTTGCCAATAAAGCCATACACCGTTGGCTACCGTTCCCTGTATCCTTCCCTATAATAGAAACGTCCTTGCCAATGTGACAGCAATACTCCAAGGTTTTGGCTCAGGCTGCTCCTCCCCTGGATGGTTTGTGGACAGACACTGCCAAGTTTTGCCTCTATGACTCTCTTTTTCTATACTTCCTTGGATGACCATCTCTCTTTAGATGTTTTCACACACCCAACCAGGTCACAAGGAAATCTTGCAGTTCTTAAAAGCCATACTCATTTAGCACAACCTGACCTACCTCTATGCAGCACCATGGGCTCATTTTCAAGTTTAACTCTCAGAGGATGATATTCTTTCGAAGCTCTAGGGGATGACTCATCTCTCACACTGACGGCCATCTGGCTTCTGTGTATATACACAATCATCTATGTACACATTCACGTACATCCACTTGTATGCTTTTTACTTTTTATTAACTTAACCTTTGAGTTATAAAGCCATCCACATGGCTATGTTTTCTTTCTTTTTTTCTTGTTTTTTTTTTTTTAAAGTTTGTTATAGGGCACATGTGCTCTCTGGAGAGAGAGAGAGAGAGAGAGAGAGAGAGAGAAAAGGAAAGTGAAAAATCATCTCCCAGGTGGGGATGGTTATGTGGCAATCCTTTCTTCTCCATTCTCCTCCTGAGATTCTGGGTATGCATGTACACATGCCTGACATGATTTTCAAGCTTCCGGTTCCAGGATGCGAACCATGCAGTTGGCCATGTGGGATCCAGTTGCCTAACCTCCACGTCAACAGTTGGCCCCGTTTTTAACTAAACTGTGGAATAATAGAGTCCTGATCTAAATGCTTAAGATTTAACTAAGAGGGTAAATATCTGAAATACTTACAACTCCTGAAAATAGGTAATTCACCGTGAAACCGTTCAACATGTAAGCTGTGACAGATATCCTTTATCCTTTATGCCCAGGCTTAACAACTTCTATGCACGACACATGCATTCCAAACAATGGGAACATTTATGTCTAAGACATGTAAATTAAATGAGCAGCCTGGCTTAGAAAGCCCTTTTAGAAAATGTCTAACTGATTTGATCACCCTGTAAATGCAGAGTGGAAAGTATGAGTTATGCTCCCTTGAGAAGATCAATAATACTCAGTAGAGAAAAGGCTTTCTATACAGTTGCAGAGGGAAGTGTTGGCTGTGGGTCAAAAGGGACTATAGCCTTCCCCCTTAGCTCTGGTCTCAAACAGACCTGCTGTCATCTCATGCTACTGAGATGTATTCATTACTGATGGATGACTTGCTTATATGGAGCTGTTGTAGCTAAGAAAGGGTGGGATTACATTTTCCCACAATATTTTTTTCACCCTTAAATGCTTTTATGCCATAAAAGCCTTTTAAAACCATTCAGTCTGGGAAACTGAGATGACCTCCTATATCATTTACCTTTTGGTAACACCTAATAGAAATCTAGAGGGACCCCATTCCCCAAGAGAATTAACAACAGAACCAAGAAATTACCATCTGCAGGCAACAATAGTAAGTTTGTTTGCTTTCAAAGCAGTGCCAGCCAAGTGTCTCCTCCTGCCCAGCTTCTTTCCAATGGGGAGGACAGGGCAGTCCCTCTGCTTGCTGAACTTTCTCCAGCTCTCACATCCTGGGATAGCTAATTCACCAACATACTTAGGTCCAGGGTAGTGTGAGTTCATTTCACACCACAAAACAGTTTGTTCCTACCAGAGGACACTACAAAAAATGCAAAGGCTCCCTTTCCTAATAAAATCTACCTCTGTATTAAATGATTTAACAAGCACACAAAGGCTTAAAAGATGAGCAGCCGGTATCAGTGGTTGCCTCCACACACTGGAACTCCTGGAGAAGTCTCCACTATGACAATGGTTTCCATCATTCAGCAACCAGACTGGGCCATTCCCCAGCCTTTCTCTTATAAAACTGGAGGCTTCTTAGCCTACCTGCTTATTTATTTATTAAAAAAGATTTTTTTTTTTTTTTTTAGTGGCTTCTTTGTGAGAAAAACACAAAAGGAACCTGGCCATGTGAGATCCAGTTGCCTAACCTCCATGTCAACTGTTGGCTCTGTTTTTAACCAAACCGTGGAATAATAGTGAAACTTCTGAATATCTGAAGCTTCTCATTTCTTACATCCTTTATTATAGCCAAGTTTCTAGATTTTATACATATCTTGTTATTCTGTTCACTTTGTTCAGTTACCTTGTTTACCAGGATTCAGTGACACCCTGTGGTTCTGACATTAATCACCTTCATCAGAACCAAACACTTACTGAACACCTACAACATATGGGTGCTGGGCTAGGGCCAGGGTGCTAGTTATACAACTTGGTTTATAAAAACAAATGTGTAAAAATTCTTTAAGAACTTTTAATTTTTTTTTAGTTTTTGCTATAGGCCACATGTGCTTGCTGGAGCTCTGAGACCAAGATGGAGAAAGAGAGAAAAAGTGAGAAATCATCCCATCCCCTGTCCGGGGAATGGTCATGCTGCAATCCCTTCTCCTCCATTCTCCTTTCACAATTTTGGGCATGCATGCATGTTCAGCATGTTTTTCAACCTGGGTTTGAGACTCTAACTGCAAAGTTGGCCATGTGAAAGCCAGCCACTTTAACTACCACATCACCGGCTGGCTCATAAAAATTTTTATTTTTATACATTTAGAACATTTATTTTGGCTTATTCACCTAGGAATCTATCCACCCCTCAAACATTCACTAGGAAGAAGTTATTTATACAACAATGGGAAAACATATATAAAATGGTTACTACTGCCATTTTTAGAATACAAAGGAAAAATACCAAAATATTATACAAAGAGATGAAAACAGTTTATTAGAAAACTACTAGGAAGGGAGTTAAATATTTAAACCTACTGCAAATATATGCTCATTACGAGTTTTGAAAGTTCATTTATTTCTCTCATGAGTGAGTCAGACAAGACAGTATTCTCAACAGGTCATCAATGCTGTAATCCACAGCAGCCTCAGCAGGCCAGGATCAGGCACATGTGTGCCCTGTGTACTCAGGGAGGCTCCAAACACCAACCCAGAGCCCCCATGTGGGTCGGCCTCACACAGCATCATATTTTATCACTGTGCCACTGCCCGGCCCATGGTAATTACTCTTTTACTAGGTTGTCAGAAAAGCCATGATGCATTTTTGCCTAGAAAAAAATACATGACTTTTCTGACAAGCTAATAGAGTATCTGAGAGGCAGATGATCAGATGGATTTTTTTCCCCGAGGTTGTCACTTTCATTTCTTCTATCATGACATACATCTTCCTCTTCACCTGTGTAGAATAATCTGTCTTTAAGTGGTATCTGCATTACCCCCTAAGGCCCCTCCTCTACGCTTTACATGTCAGGTACATCAGTTATAGTACTTACTGGCTTGTCTCTTCCTGCTAAAATTATGGTTACAGGTGCTCTACACTTCGGTGTATTTGTTATAGAATCTTTAATCATTGCAATAGTTTTCGACTTCTTTTATACTCCTCCCCCCGCCCCCCCTTTTTTTTAGGTTTTTGAACATGGGGCATGTGTGCTTACCAGAGAGAGCCAGGGGAGTGGTGGTGGTGGTGGTGGTTGTTCTTACCATTACAAAGAGGATGGCTATGCTGCAGTCCTTTCTCTTCCATTCTCTTCTTGAGATTTTGGTCATACATGCACAAGTGCATGGCATGACTTTCAAGCTACTGGGTCTGGGACTTGAACTGTGGTCAGCCATGTGGAGTCTAGGGCTATAACTACCATGCCACCTGCTGGCCCCTTCTTTGACACTCTTGTCTTGTTTACTGCTGTCAGCTTTAAGTGTGATGGTTGTATGTGACTGGGGTGGGCAGGCAGGAAGGGAGATACCTCTGGAGAACAGCTCAAACCTCCAGGTTGCAGGAGATATCAAACGTTACCAAATGCCCCCTCTTGCTTGGAGTAGGAAGAGATTTCAAAAAGTTTGGAGGAAAATGAAATTAAGCCTGAGTGTATCCTGGTGCAGCAAAAGTTTGAAATCCATGAATTATGTTTCCATAATCAACTTTTCAGTGCATTTTCTGAAGCCTTCTTGTATTGCTCAGATTCTTGAGTAAAGGAAAGGAAATAAAGGCAAGCCAAGGCCAGTGCCCCAGTTCTCCCAGCAAAGAAGAGCTATTTACCTGGTTGGTAGAAATCAGGAGACAATTCCCTGGCCACAGCTCTCGCGATGTCACACTCCTGACGGGCGGCCAGCGCAGCCTGGTCAGCGGCATCAGCTTTCGCTCTGGCATGTGCAGTCCTACATGGGGCACAAGAGTGAGTCAGCAAAGGCAGTGCCTTAGTAATTCCACATGGACAAGCACACTGCGACCTGGGAAAAGAGATGTCAAGGATGCTCATGATTGACACCTGCAACAGCAGGGCTCAGAGTGACGTGCTCGGAGAGGTGAACGACGACAGCATGGATGAAGCTCCCTTTCAAGTTCCCTCAATCCTTCTTTCCAGGGAAATGGAAAGCCTGAGTGAGGCCTATGCCACTTGATGCTAAGTCTGGCATTCAAAACTTACTGGATCAAGTCTTCTGTCAACTTTGGTTTGCATTTTCTCCCTGAAACTATGGCGAGTACAATTAGAGCATATGAATGAATATAGTGCTCAGGGGCTTAATTCTGGTGGTACGCTGAAAGTAAGAATTTGATTATGAAAAGTCTGCTGCTAAAGTGGCGCTTTGGGGGGAAAATGAGCAAAAGTGTAATTGGCAATGTTTACTGATTTCCATGGTATAAATATTCCCACTGTGGCCAATTTCAGGCTGCCCAGCATGATGCCACTGGATATGTAGCTGGTAAACAATGTGCACCACTGGTCCTCACCAGCCCGCAGAGGGTCTGCTCCAAGAATATGCTCAGGAGGTGACGGAGGAGTTCACTTAGTGACTTGTAAGCATGTTTCTTATATAAAAGAAAAGGGAGACAGACAGAGTTGATGAGGATAAGATGGTCTGTCAGTCATCTATCTCCTCTGGCTCATCCTCACTCACCAAAACTTCTTCTCTTATCAGAGGATTAAGGCTAAGGAGAAGGTGGTAGGGAAAAAAAGAGGGCTTCTTATATGTGACCTAAATCCCAACGCATAGAACTGCCTGACACATAGTATTTACCAGAGGCCCACCCACTTTATAAACAATGGAATAAATGATGCTTCCTTAGGAAGCCTGGGTAGTTACTTAGAAATGAATGGAATGACAAAATTATAGTGACAGTAAACAAACAAACAAACCAGAAAAACAAACAAACAAACAAAAACCAGCATCAGTGCCAAGGGTTCAGGGTGCAAGTGGGGAGAGGTAACCAGATGGAGTAGGGGCATATTTAGGGAAGCTAAACTACTCTGAGTGATAGTGTAGAAGGGATACGTGAAATGATATATTTGTCAAAACCTAAAGAATGTAAAACACACGGAGTAGACCCTCATGTAAATGGACTTTAGTACTAACATAGCAGTACTGGTTTGTCAGTTGTAGTGAACGCTCTCTCACATGCAAGATGTCAATAACAGACACACTGTGTGGGGGCATCAATAAGAGAGGAGGTGACAGGAAGTCTGTACTTCCTGCTCAATTTTTCTGGTAACCTAAAACTACTCTACAAAACAAAGGTTATTAATTAAAAGTGAGCAGATCAACTTCTAGTCATCAAAATTGTTATTTCTGGGGGTCGGCCAGTGCCCTGGTAGTTAAGGCGGCTGGATCCCATATGGTCGATTATATGGTTAGAGTTCTGGACCTGGTGGCTTTAAAAATACATTGGTATGTTGGGTGTACAAACTCAAAATCTGAAAGAGGGAGAAATGGAAGAGAAAGGGCTGTGGCATGTCCATGCCCCTTCAGAGGTGCTTTTTCACTTTCACACTCTCTCTCTTGCTTTCTCTCTCTGGCAAGTACATGCAAACATTAAAAGAAAAAATTGTTATTGCTGAACTATGCAGAACATTTATCTTGGTCTTTAAAATATTAGAAAATGTGAGATGGAAAAAAAAAAAAACCAAGATGGTAAAAGAACACAATCCTAGTCAGCTGTGGTCATGCATGGCACCATGATGGATGGTGGGTGTCCTGTGTCTTGTGCTTGAGAATCAATGGGTGCCCCCTCATGTTCTTTCAGTTTCTCAGAATCTCAACTCGTTCTCCTGGAATGATTTTCTATTTGATCTACTATTCTTAGCTAGAGCTGAATTATGTCTAGGTATCATAAGTAATGAAGCCATAAGAGCATATGATGCTGTCCTATAATCTGCTAGCCCTTCAAAGGTAAATTTACAAAATGAGTACGAACAACTTTTTCTTATAATCACAACATATCACTACAGAGTCAAATAAAATGGTAATATTATCTTCCTCACTATTTATAATATGCTAAGTTGAAGAATAGACAAATACAGCATAATCTTTCTACAAATATGTTTTAGAAGCACTGCGTCAGGAAGACTTACCTGTGACTTTTGTACTTAACCCTTTACTTTTTAACTTGCTTTTAGGTAAGGCCAGACAGGAAGGGGGACCTTTCTATCTAGCCTGTCTCTGGGTGTCAGCACAACTGCACAGCTGGCCAGATGAGTCAAAAGTATATTCAAACCCGAGACCAGGGGTCTGCTTAAGAGCTTCTGGTAGCTCTGGTCCTGGTCATGAGAACTATGAGAGCAGGAACCCACTCTGCGTGTACTGACACCAGCTCATGTCAAGCCCACTGGCATGCTAGATTTTCCCAGAAAAACTCTGGGATTGTTTCTGGCTCATATCAATGAATTCATATTTTTAAATTCTAGACTCGGTTTCAGAGAAACACACGACTCCTTCAGTCAGTCAACTGGTAAGACATGCCATTGTTTCTGGGTGAAGGGGTCAGGCTAGCTGGTCTGGAAAGATCAGCTGACACCACGCACAGTGGATGCCCTGCTGCTACAGCTGTTTACAGGGAATATGTATACACACCAATGAGGCATGCAAGCCTAAGAAGCACTTCATTTATTCAAAAGTTTGCTGACATTTACCAGTTTTTAGACCCTCAAGAATCTCCAAAAACCATTATCATATCCTTCCTCCCACCAAATGCAGGAGTAACTGAAAAGCAACTTCTTTAAGTTAGGTATCAGCTACTGAGTCTCAGGGCTATTCTTTTACATAAACCAAAGTTTTAACCTGTGGAGAGTGAGGATGTTTGTGTGAAAGGATCCCAACAACGCTGGGATACAGAGAACCAGGCAGCAGGCTAAAAACTGAGCGGCTAAGTCATTTTCTCTCAGATATAAGCCCTGCAAAAGTCTGCCAACAGCATCAACAGTAAATGTGGAATTTCTGAATGCCAACCATAACTTGTGCTTAAGAATTTAGTTATGAATTATTTTTCGATCAGTAATTCGATGAGTATCTGAGTTTTTCTTTTTCATTTAATAATTTAAAAGTGTTATGAGCTCACAAATCACCTTATTCAGAAAAAATCCAATTTCCCCAACTCTTCTTTCTTTCATTTTTTTAAAAGTGATTTTTGCTTCTTAAAGCACATGCACTTACCAGAGACACACAGAGAGACAGAAAGTGAGAAATCACCCCCCAGAGGGGAATGGCCACACCACAATCCCTTCTCCTATCAGGATTTTGGTTATGCACACACATGCATCTAGCATGAGTTTCAAGCCTCCGGGTCCAGGACTCAAACTGTGGTCTGCCATGTGGGAGTCCAGAGCCTTAACCATGACACCACTTGCTGGCTCTCCCCAAGTTTTCTTAAACGTAACATTTTTACAGAAAGGATCTTTAGCTAAACACTAAGCATGCTCAGTGTATCCTCTTCCTGCTAAAGGACACATGGACCATCACTGCTGAAGGTAGAACTATATCCAATATTTATAAATTTTGCCATTTCTACTTTTTGTAGTTTTCCCCCCAACAATAAACTGCTTCAAAAACTATGCTGACTCTCATGTCTTTTTAGATTTGTCACTAAGTCAAAATTACTGATCTGACTCTCAAAATGTAATAGCAGACTATCATCTAATTGGTTTAGAAATTGTACTTGTGATTTGCTTTGACAGTGAAAGACAATTACTAAAAAAATGTTACAAGAGCAACTCGCATGTAATAACACATATCTCAGTTGATGGTGAACTATTCTTCCAGTTGCTCTAGTTAGAACCCTTTGAGTCATGTTTGACGCCTCCCTTTCTCTCATATGTCACATCCATGGTCAGCAAATCTAGTTGGCACTGCCTTAAAAATATATACCCAGTCCAACCATTTCTCTTTCTCCTCCCTACTCCAGCCTTGGCTGCACCAGTGTCATCTCACCAGGGTTAAGGCAAGGATAGAACCAGCCTCCCTGGGTCTATCCTCCTGCTGCCACTCTGTTTCCATTCCAGTTCTCTGGAAAATGCCTGATAATACCCAGAAATTCTTCCTTGGGTTATAATATCCTGGATAAGAAAATGCCAAAAATATGACCTGTTAGCTTTCCTATTGGACTGTGACATTTTTCATTTATGAGAGACCTAGATTTAAGAAATCCAATTATCTTGTGCAGACAGTCACAGACCTTTTTAAGAAAAAAATTGTTAAGCCAAAAATACTCTTGATTGGAAAAAGAACCAACTGGCTCCACAAATTTCATTTAAAAATTAGAGGCATGATTTCTAAGTTACCTGCTTCTGGTTAAAAATTGGTCTTTCAATCTTGAGCTGGTTGTCTAATAAAACCGACCTGGCAAAGCTCAGCATATAATCCTCTAACTAAGGTATATTTAAGGTCCCTTAGCTGTCTGTTCCAACTCTCAATGTTCAATCTTTTAGTCATCTGTTAACTGACAGAGCTGACAGACTCTGACCTAGAAAGGACAATAACTCTGTTGAAATTCCGTCTTTAGTAAATTTGATTTGAGAATACTTCTTCCATTTAACCCCACCCTTACCATCTATTAGTTCTTGAATGTTAATTTTCTCCAAAAGTTGTCTTTTTTCTCTCTTTTTAAAAAAAAAAAAAAAAAAGATAGGACCTGGAATTATAACTTCAAAACAGAATTCTTAGTTCTTGGTTTAGAACAAGTTACATCAGTAAATAGCTGTCCTCTTTGTCAAGGCAGGAGTTCATGTTTTCCTTTCCTTTAAAAGTGATACCAAGATATTTAGATATAAAATGCAAACCAAGAGGCATAATATTCCTATTGAAGTCTGGTATTTGAGATTTCAAGGGCTCAAACTTTTTTTTTTTTTAAGAGAGAGATTTTTCTTATAGGGTATGTGTGTTTGCTG